AATTTTCAATAAATATTAATAGTTGTTTGTTTCAACAAAAAAGAATTATAAAATTAATTTTTATTCGAGTAGTGCTAATCTCTGTTCTAGATGTACTAATTATCGACACAGAAATGATCCAATGATCGACATTCTTTATTTGTTTGCATATCTATTTATTAAATCGACTATGTCTATGACGATTACTAGTCCATAGAATGTTTAGACAACAATTACAGATCTAATTTTTTTATTTGGATTTTGGATACATTATTATTCGATTTACAAGAATTTTTTTCGGTTCACCTAGTCTTAGTAATCAACATATATGACGATTATTCGAACAACTATGTGCTTCGATGAACCAGTGCTTGTCATGTAAAAAAAAATTAAACTAAAAATTTGTATGAAATAATAATTTGTGATGATGTAAGGAAAACTGCGATCTCGATTTATAACTCGAAATTCAATTTATTTCATAATCTCATTAATCAAATTAATCTCTTTGGCAAGTTGCCAATATTCCAAAATCACACGAGATATCAAACAATGTCTTTTAACCTCGTAATGAAACATTTGATCGAAATCACGCTTGGTTGTTGCACATATTCGATTTAATCAATAGAGAATTCATATATTTACAAGTTTCATAATGTAATACAACATTGTAAATACTTTCTTGGAACCAATAAAAAATATTAGCAAGCCTCACGATCGACAGAAAGTTCTAAAATAATTCTTTAATACGTGAACTTAGCGATTACTGGTACACTGACGATTTCTGGGCCAACTACCTTATATTATCTGCTAAAATTTTTAGATAAAGGATTAATTTATTAGTAATTAGTATATGTATATATATATGTATATATGCATATATGTATATATGCAATATCAATTAGTTTTTAATTTTGTGTTAAAAATTAAATTATAAATAGATGTTAAATTTAAAATATTGGAATATTGTTTTTATATTTTCTATTTATTTATTACAAAGGAAAAAATAAGAACTTTATTCATTACACTTTTACTTTTTTAACTCTGAAAATGTATTCACTTTGTAAAAATTTATTAAATATATGAAAAGATTAATTACTTATTAAATGTTATAACATAAAATATAATAATATAATTATATTATGTGTATGTGATTTCTCCATTAATTTGTATATCGAAATTAATGAAGCATTTGTAAGAGGATACTTGCGCCATCTTTCCATTGAATAACGTACTTTTTTCAAACTTGAGCATGTGAAATATCATTATTAGATTATTGATTAGATAATATACATATCACATAATTTTATTAATAATTATCAAGATAATTTTGCATTTTTAAATTTTATTTATAACAAAAGTGTTTAAGGATGAACGTGCTCATGTTTTAGAATAGAACTTTACTAGCGCCTCTATGTGCACAAAGCGTGCAAATTGAACTATGTAGCCATTGATATTTTCGGTGGGTAACACATCCATCTTCGATTTATGATATATTTTAACATATTTTTACATATACTATTTGGCTCTGTGTTATATCCACAGAATACAATTGCATAACAATGCATTATAATGCATTATAATGCATTATAATGCATTAAAAATAATAATTAAAAACTGAAATAAATTAAGTCTAAAAAAGGTATTAAAAGAAACGTCAACTATATTTTAATAGTACATACTTATATATGCAAAATATGTATAAAAAATCGCAATGGAATAAATCGAATGCTATTGCTTTATTACAAAGATGTACAAGAAATGTGAACTTTTTAGGCTGTTTTGTTTTAAACCGAATATCATATGATAAAAACTTTACTAAATTTGAAATTTTCTTATATAAATTAAAATTTTTTATTTATGAATTCAAATAAAGTATAATTTGATAAAAACAGATGACCAACCTTGGTTCTTCACTATTCCCTCCCTCTTCAGTAATAAAGAATCAGAGCGTTTATTGAGCTGTTTTATCTACTGAATGTAATCAATTTATATTAATAGCTATGAAATATTCAAATTCATATTCGCATTGTAAGATAAATAAATATCGAATATTCTGTTTCTTACAGTTCAATGAATGGATTATCGCACACTTTATATTTTGCGAAATCGTTCTCAACAATTAATTCCAATTCAATTAAGAGTGCTTTGGAATGGAAATATATTTTATAACTTGTATTCTAATTCGATTAATATACAATTTGATTAATATTTATAGTATAAATATGTAATACTAAATTTTAGAATGCACTAATATTAAATTTTCATACTAATAATCCATTTTTAATTTTTTTTTTAAATAAATCAATGGTTGGTCAAATATTTAATTTAAAAAGAATTATTAAATTTAAT